ATGTGCCTGCATTTCTGGGATGTCTATCTGGTTACAAAATTTAGCCTAGCCAGGTTAGACTAACTTGCAAAGATTCAATCAGTTCAGGCTCAGGCTTTTGAATGCCTGTCCCTAGCCCATGTGAGGAATTATGAAATTGTCAACTACTTCATAGAAAAGATTTATTTCCTATACCCCATCAGTTAGTTTTGGCTCATGCCGTGAAGCTTGGGGGTGATACTCCTTTTGAAAATTATTTTATCTTCTTTAGTATAACTGTGGGAGTCTTCATTACTCATATAAAAGAGCTACAGTTTTGAATCCTAGTGAGTTCTTAGCCTTACCTTGTGACAATGAGTTCCACAAGTTAATTAAACATTATGTAGAAAGCATTCCCATTATCAGGCTTCAATTTATTGTTGTTCAGCATCACTGATTATTCCATTATTATTCAAGAATAAACAAGAGTAACTGATGAACATTTTTATACCATTTAATATTTAATTTATGGTTCATGAACCATCTGATTTGTGTAATGTAAAAAATATTAGATTTTTCAGGCTTTTTTTTACCTATGGAAATCTTTCCAGTCCTAATAGCTTTCAGTGCCTGTTTCTGAACTATTTCTGCAATATTTTTTTTGAGGCAGGATAATCAAACCTGAACACAGGATTCTAGATGATGTTATACCTTTGATTTATGTAGGTGTCACCTTTGTTTCTATTTTAGTTAAGGCAGAACCTATTTTTGCAAATGTTTCGTCTTGCCTAAGAAATGTAAACCACTTCTTTCTCCATCATCTTTTCATCCATGCATTGGGATTCTGAAGTTCCCCCTATTTTGCTGGAGAGAAGCCTTTTGACAAATCAGAATTAAGCTTATAGGATCTCTTTCATATATCATCTTAGTAACAGTGATGTAAGGTTTATCACAACCTCACAGTCCCTCCCAACACTGCTAGAAATATTTAAAATGTTTTATGAGTTCTGTCACCATTATGCCTGGCAGGGAAAAAAAAAATCACCACATGCTTCTGTGCAGCAACACACACACTGCTATTGATATGGTAACTGTATCCAAGGAGTGGATTTTTAAGTCGGTAACAAATGTTTTACTTAGTGAATTAATTATACAGTTCCCGGAGATCATTGCTATTGATAGTTAGACTGGCACAGAAGTCTGTGCAAAGAGAAAAAACAATTACGTAAAGCATCTGTGTTGAGTGTAAACTATTAATTCTGTTTTATCGACTCTGTTTTCCAAACTTAAGAAAGGTATTACCATATTTATTTGCATACCACATACACCCTTTTTCTAAAAAATCAGCCCTCCAAAATTCAGATGCATGTCTTACACAGGGAAACTGATTTTTCTTCTCCAACAGGAGGAATGGAAGCATGGCTGGCAGCTGTATTGGCTGCTGTGCTCCTCTTCAGGGAGGGAGGGGCAGGGTTCATGGTTCTGGATCAGAGCTACAGTGTTAACTCTTTCACAATAGCTGTGGGAGGTTTAGAACTCTAGCTTTGGCTAATGCTGAAGAGTGTATTCTGTCTTTGCTCTCAAGAGTCAGCCACAACTGTGGAAATCTTTTTTTCTTTCTGCCTTCCTAAAACGAGGTTTAGGTATTATTTGGGTGTGTCTGGTATGCTGACTGCACGCACAATTTTTTTTAAATTATATATTTTGATACTTCAAATTTGAATACTTAAATTGTCAAAAGTGTAAGAACGCAGAACTGGAAGGAAGGATCTGCAGTCACAGGAGACCATATAATGCATGTTAAGTCCAAAAGAACATCCATCCAGACCTCATTTCCATACAACACAAGTCACACAGCACCTTTTAATATCCTGTTACGAATTAAGGATCTTTAATACAAAATACCCCTAAAGCCTCAAATCTTACATTGTGACACAAGATGAGAGCAGGAGCGTTACTTTGCCTTAGGCACCTGTGATAGCGGTGAATTTCTTAAAATAAGGAACAAATATTTCTCCAACATATTCATCTCAGTAGATTTCCAGGTTGGATCCCATACTCACGCAGACGCAAGCTAGCTCTGCGCGGGCTCCACATGGCTACATCAGCTCTGGCAGTGGTGATGGGGAGGGGCTGCTTTTACCCTGTATTGAGCAGCTGTTTCTCTCCCGCACCACCACTGCTGAGCCTGGGCTCTAGAGCCTGCTCCAGACTCTCCTGTCTGGGCTGAGCAGTAGCAGTAGTAGCAGCAGTGGTGGCGGTGGCGGCAGCTGGGCAGAAACTGTTGCTTGGCGTGGGGGGAAAAGTGGCTCCTCCCTTTTGCCACCACTGGGCAGTTCTTGGTGCAACAGCCTGGAGCTTGCGCCGTGCTGGGCTGCCCTGTGTCTCTGTCCCTACCACCTCTGGGCTGCCCAGTGTGGCAGTGATTACAGTGCAGAGCAGCTGCAGGGCAGTCCAGGGTGTTGACCGAGATACAGGGCAACCCGGCACGTTGTGAGATCCAGGCAGCTGCACCAAGAACTGCCTGGTGGTAGCGAAGGGGAGAGGCCGCTTTCCCCCATGTTGAGCAACAGTTTTTGCCCAGCCGCTGCTGCTGCTCAGCCCCGACGGGCAAGCCTGGAGCAGGCAGGGCACATGGGGTCAGGGCTGCATATGCTGGTCTCCACTGAGACCTCAGGGCTGGGGTCAGGAGTGGCATCAGCCAGAAAGAGCCACCCTAGCTCTGCTGCATGCCCAGGGGCGGTAGGACATGCCACGGCCGGGGGGTGCAGAGTGGGCACAGGGTGTGCTGGGGCTGTGTGCTGTAGGCGGTGGCAGGGAGGCGCTGCAGGATGTGTGGGCTCTGAGCTGTTGCAGGGCAGGGGGGGCACACTTGGGTGGCTCCCATGTGCACCCCACTATAGTCATAAACCCCACAACCCCCCCCCCAATCACAGACCCTTCAAACACTGCACCCACCCACACCCTCCCCCACACTCACAGTCACGTGCCTCTGGGGGGAGCCCCGGTCGCTGCTACATTTTGAGCTATTATGGAATCACTTCTATATATACAGTGCAAGCACACACAAATCAGGACAAAAATATTTTTATTTAAATAAAATTAAAACATGTTGTTACAGATGTTTGATTTCTAGTATATAATTTGTTTTGGTTTTTTTTCCTGGTTCCAAGATGGCAAACCTCCTTCCCAAAAGGAGTACTTCCAGGGGCAAGGGGAGGGA